AGCCTGGATGAGTTGCGATTCACCTTGTGAAAGTTCCGTGATGTTTCCCTTGGTGTTGATGCTTCAAACTTTGAGTTTTCACTGATTTTGGAGCCTGGATGAGTTGCGATTCACCTTGTGAAAGTTCCGTGATGTTTCCCTTGGTGTTGATGCTTCAAACTTTGAGTTTTCACTGATTTGGGAGCCTGGATGAGTTGCGATTCACCTTCTGTCGTTACGTGATGTTTCCCTTGGTGTTGATGCTTCACTTCGGGATACTTCGGTGATGTTTCCCCCTCATAGATTGCTTCAAATCTAGTCTTTATGCTGTCCTTGATGAGTGTGTGTGTGGCGCTTCACTTCGGGAAACTTCGGTGATGTTTCTTCTTCATAGATTGCTTCAAATCTTACCTTTATGTAGTCCTTGATGGGTGTGTGGGTGCCGCTTCACTTCGGGATACTTCGGTGATGTTTCCTCCTCATAGGATGCTTCAAATCTTGTCTTTATGTTGTCCTTGATGAGTGTGTGTGTGGCGCTTCACTTCGGGATACCTCGGTGATGTTTCCTCCTCATAGATTGCTTCAAATCTTGTCTTTATGTTGTCCTTGATGAATGTGTGTGTGGCGCTCCGCTCCGGGATACTTCGGTGATGTTTTCTCCTCATAGGATGCTTCAAATCTCACCTTTGTGTTGTCCTTGATGAGTGTGTGTGTGGCGCCCCACTTGGGGATACCTCGGTGATGTTTCCTCCTCGTAGGATGCTGTTCACGTTGTTCATTGGCTGTTCTATGTGCATGGGTAGGTCGCTGTCCACCCGGTAGTACTTCGCTGTTCAGTCCCCGGGTAGGATGCTGTTCACATTGTTCTTTTGCTGTTCTATGTGCATGGCTAGGTTGCTGTTCACCCGGTAGTACTTTGCTGCTCAATCCCCGGGTAGGATGCTGTTCACATTGTTCTTTTGCTGTTCTATGGGCATGGTTGGGCTGCTGTTCACCCGGTAGTACTTCGTTGTTCAGTCCCCGGGGTAGAGTGCTGGTCACATTGTTCTTTTGCTGTTCTATGTGCATGGGTGGGTTGCTGTTCACCCGGTAGTACTTCGCTGTTCAACCCCCGGGATAGAATGCTGTTCACATTGTTCTTTTGCTGGTCTATGTGCGTGGGTGGGTTACTGTTCGCCCGGTAGTACTTCGCTGTTCAACCCCCGGGATAGAGTGTTGTTGACATTGTTCCTTTGCCGATCTATGTGCATGGGTGGGTTGCTGTTCAGCCGGTAGTACTTCGCTGTTCAACCCCCGGGATAGAGTGCTGTTCACATTGTTCTTTTGTTGTTCTATGTGCATGGGTAGGTTGTTGTTCCCCCCGGTAGTACTTCGCTGTTCAACCCCCGGGGTAAGGTGCTGATCACGTTGTTCTCTCGCTGTCCTATGTGCGTGGGTAGGCTGCTGTTCACCCGGTGATGCTTCGCTGTCCAATCCCCGGGTAGGGTGTTGATCACATTGCCGTTTTGCAGGTCTAGTTGCTTGGGAAAGTGTCGACGGATCACTTCTTGTTGCTTCCTCTCTTGGGAATCTACGATTCCGAAAAGACTGCCTTCACTATGGCAAGGGGGGGGGGGCACGTGCGGCCAAGACCAACGACCTACGAGAAAGACATAAGGGGTAGGGAGTTGGGCGGTAGAATAGGATCGGTCACGGACCACGGGACAAGCGMGCCATCAYCTACACCCATCCACCATAGCCGGACACCCCGACCCTTCTTCAACCTCCATCACCTACACCCATCCACCATAGCCGAACACCCCAACCCTTCTTCAAC